GGGGGCGCTTCTTCCTGCCCTAACCCGCCCCCCTCCCTGGCGTCCCCCGCAGCCTGGGAAAAGGCAGCATATTGAGGCGCGGGTCTCAGCATCAGGCCCGGGATGCTAATGAGGGCGAGCGTGTTCCCACAGCCCGGACATTGTGCCGCGCGGCCCACCTGCTCCTCGGGGAGCGCCCATTGTGCCCGCGCCAATTCACAGGCAATTTAGCGTGCGCTAATGGGCCGGCGCCTTTGTGCGGCCCGCGCCGCCATTGGCCCGCCGAGCGTGGGAACGGCCGCGGCGCCCCGGCCCCAGGCCCCGGCCGCGCCCGCGCCTATATCAGGCGGCTCGCGCCCAGCCCGGCCAGCGCCTGGCTCGCCGCCTCCGCCTGCGCCCGCCGCTCCGCGCCCGCCGGCATGGCCCCCAGCACCGTGGCCGTGGAGCTGCTCAGTCCCAAGGAGAAGAACCGGGTAAGTGACAGCTCCGCGGCCTCCGAGCGCACCCGCCGCCCGCCCGCCCGCCGGCCGGCCGGCCAGCCCGCGCCCTCTGACCCGGCCTGCCCTGCCCTCTCTCCCCGTAGCTGCGCAAGCCTGTGGTGGAGAAGATGCGCCGCGACCGCATCAACAGCAGCATCGAGCAGCTCAAGCTGCTGCTGGAGCAGGAGTTCGCGCGACACCAGCCCAACTCCAAGCTGGAGAAGGCTGACATCCTGGAGATGGCTGTCAGCTACCTGAAGCACAGCAAAGGTGAGCGCACCGCCGGCCCTCCAGCCTCCCGGCCCCAGCCCCGCGCCCGGGCCCGGCTCACCGGCGGTCCTGTCTGTCTCTCCCTCCTGCAGCCTTTGCTGCCGCTGCCGCCGGTCCCAAGGGGCTGCACCAGGACTTCAGCGAGGGTTACTCCTGGTGCCTGCAGGAGGCCGTGCAGTTCCTGACGCTGCATGCGGCCAGCGACACGCACCTGAAGCTGCTCTACCACTTCCAGCGCCCCGCCGCCGCGCCCGTCGCGCCCAAGGAAGCCCCTGCCGCCGGCGCGGCGGGCCCGCTCTCGCTCACCTCCGCCAAAGCCCCGGCCCCACGACAGCCTGCCTGCGGCCTCTGGCGGCCCTGGTGACGGGACCACCCAGGACCAGAGGGCGAGACGAATCGTTCCTCTCCCGAGTAGGGAAGCGTCTTTCCTGTCCCCTGGGTCCAGCTTGGACGCCTCTCCGGAAGGCTTCCTCCGGCTGGCGGGCCAGCGGGGGAGTCATTCTCAGAGAATGTGTGCTGGCCTTTCGTTGTAGGACAATCAGCGCTCATCTTCAGGGGAGAGAGCTGCCTCCAAGGGTCTGACCCCAAGGGGTCGTTCTGTGTCTGCATTTCAGCAAGTGACTGACTTCTGGGAAGTCCCGCCCGGCCTGTGGCCGGGAGTCTATGATATTTGTAGGCATTGGGGCTGGTGGGAGCCACCGTAGAGGACTTTCTTCAGGCCCGTGGCTGTGGGCGCGCCTCTGGGTGGGCCGTGCAGTGGGCTACCCTGCCTTTTGTGAAGGCGAACTCCGTGTGCATCCTTATAGGAGAGCGAGTAGCAGCCTGAGGGCGCAGAAGAGTCCTCGCTGTGGAGCCTTTCTCGGAAGGCCCCCTGCTCGAGGGCTCGGCTGTCCGGGTGGGGCTCACAGTGGGCTTGTTTGGGGCAGGTGGGTCCCCGCTACGATCCTTAAAGGATTCCTCGGTGTGGGTGCGCGTGGGCGCGACGTCTGTACTCAGTATTTAAACTCTGTCACTGGGCTGCTCTGCAGGCTTGTAATAAACTCTATTGAGTCCTCGTGGCGTCTTGTGCCTTCAAGGGCCTGGGGAGCGGAGGAGGGGAGCGCGGAAGCGCAGATTCACAGGGGCGAAGGGGAGCAAACGCGGCCGGCCCTAGTGCGCAGCCAGGGTGGGGGTGGGGTGGTCTTTTGCAGAGACCCTCTGGCTGTTGGAAAAGCCTGGGTCTGGGAAGGAGGGAGGGAGGGGAGAAACTGGAAGTGAAAGAGGCGGAAAATAAGTAGGGAAGGGAAGAGATGGATCTGGAAACCAGGGAAAGAAGCTGGGGGGCAGAGGAAAAGCAGGGAGAGGTGTGTGGAGAGAGGAGATGAGGAGGGAACTGGGAGGCGGCCTGGAAGGAGAGGGACCTTGTAGATTGCATTCCTCTGCGTCTTCCCCCCTCCCCCCCTCCGTGGAGGAGCAGTGCTTGGACTTCAGGACTTCCTTTCACTTTGCTCCTGCGGGGGGAATGGGACAAAATGACAGCCATGAATGAACTCTTCTCGCTGTCTGGCTGAGGATCTGTAACCTGGGGGTTCCTTGCTGCAATCAAAGGGGGCTTGGCGGGCCAAACAGGAGAAAATGCTTGCCACTAGGCCTTGCCCCAACCCCAACCCCCAACCCTGTCAGAAGCACCTGATCCCCAGGTGTCCACCCTGCCCTCCTGGCTGCCAGCCACATGTCAGGCTGGAACAGGCAGCGCTAGTGGTGACTGCCAGGGCTGATCCTTTGCTTCAAAAAGATGCCTATTTTTAGGGTGCTTACAAGGTGTTGGTTGAGCCTGCAAGAACCCAGAACCTCACCACCCAGGTTGCCCATGGGGTGAAATCCTCCCAGCTGGGAGTGGCATAGTGGTTATGCATAGTGGTCAGCCATCCACAACCATCAGCAGCTCCTCTGGAGAAAGACCGGACTTTCTGCTCCCATAAGCAGTTACAGTCTCGGAAATCCACAGGGGGGTCACTATGAGTCAGCATTGACCAGAGGGCAGTGACAGCAGGAAGGGGAGCCTGGTACCAGAGACTCTCAGACTCAATGTGATGGTGTTAAGGGTCCCAGACTTCTCTCCCCTCCGCCTTCTGGCTCATTCCACAAGGTCAGTGCCTGCCAGTGGCCCTCTCTGTTCTCTGCAGAGCCCAGGGTGTGCTGGGCAGGTTTGGCTCACTGCAGACATGTGGGTCCCTCAGACTAGGAGAAGCACCACTGCCCGTTGGATCAGAGCTTCCTTGCTGCCCTGCCGGAGTTTACCCGGGCACCAGTGAGGTCCTTCTCAGGAGCTCCGCATCACAGGGGCCTCCACAGACTGGTTTCCATCCCCGGGAAGTCCCCTGGCAGTGCTGTCTCCTCCCGGCAGCCTCACCTGGAATCCTGCCCAGGCCTCTGCAATACTGCTGGTTCCAGGGAACCTGTCTGGTAGCTGGTGCACTTCCAGTTAGCAGGCAGAGGTGGAGGTCCAGCAGCTCAAAGCAATGACTAGGGCCACGTAATTGGCAGGGATGCCCACTTCAGAGTCCCTAGGGTGTCTGCCTCTGCGTGGGGCTCTTCCCCTAGTGTCAGTGTCTCTGCGGGTCCTACCCTGAAGCCCACCTTGGCCTCACTCTAGGCCCTGCTCAGATGGGGTTCCGTGGTTTCTCAGCGCCCGCCTGCCCCGCCCCACCTGCTTTGCTGAAATGCGCCCCCTGTGGGCAGAAGTGGAAGTTGGGGAGGTCGTCTTGAGGGTCCCTGTTTCAGGCCTGTTTCCACCTTTGTGGGGAGCTCCTTAGGGCAGGGTCCCTCCTCCCAGAATTTTAGCACTGAACTCCAGGGCGGGTCGAGTTATGTCACAGGCACCTCTGTTCAGGAGCTTAGCTTACAGCACGTGCTTGAGGGGCTGGAGGGAGGTCCTGTGGCCACTCTGGAGGCGGGAACACCGCCTGCCCTGCCTTCCAGCACTAGCTCAGAGGACCTGGGGAACACAGCCAAATGTTTATTGCTGAGGCTCAGATTGGGAAATAGTTCTCCCGCAGTTCGGCCTCCTCGGACTTCAACTCAGGCCCCGCCCGGGACGGCTCTAACTGCCGAGGGGGCGGGCGCAGGCGACTTCATTAACATAATCTATGCGTGGGAGGCGTTTAGCAGTCAAATATATGCGCATATATCTCCATGGCTGATGAGGGTGGCCGGGCACATTCAAAATGGCGGAGTGTGGGGCGAGCGGCAGCGGTAGCAGCGGGGACAGCCTGGACAAGAGCATCACGCTCCCTCCCGACGAGATCTTCCGTAACCTGGAGAACGCCAAGCGCTTCGCCATCGACATAGGTAGCCGCGGGCCAGAGCGCCGGGAGCGGGGTGGCCCAGGGCAAAGAGTGCCTGTTGAGGTGACCGGCGAGCCGGGGGCGGCGGGAAGGACGAAGGGCGGGGTGGCGGGGGGCCCTCGGTCCGCGCGGCCCGACGGGAGTAGTGGTCTGTGCGGGGGCCGGTGCACAGGCTCCTGGTAGTGGCTGGACTACAGCTCCCGGCTGGCATTGCGCAAAGCGGCGCGTGGCATGCCGGGACTCGTAGTCAGGCTTGCTAGTGGGGGCCGCCGGGGAGCTGGCCCGCGGGATTCTCCGTCGGCGCGGACCGGCCTCAGGCCCGCTGGGGAGGGGGCGATCACAACACTGAAGTGTCCCATTTGGGCTCCTGGACTGGTGGTCCCCGCTATCCCGGCAGCCTCGGGGCGCTCTCAGGATGGGGGACTCACTTGGGGCCGGGCGGTGGGTTTAAATTTTGGCCCACTTCAGACCGCACGGCTGGGAGGTGAAGGGGAAACATCGCCCCGCGGTCTTCAGGGGGGCTGGCCTGCGATTTGGGTTGAAGTGAAGTCTCAGGAGCCGACACCCCAATCCCCGCCTGCGAGAAAGAGCTTCACAGGGCTGCCCAGCAAAGGCTGTCGACCCTGCTGCCGGGACCCCCGCGCAGCCCTTCCAAGGCTCCCGGACCTTTGGCCAGTGGCCCAGGCCAGAGGCCGTTGGGCTGACCCATTAGGGCGCCGCACCCGAAGGCCTTCCCGCGCACATTGGCTGTCAACCACCAAGGGCGGCACTTTGGAACTGGGGTCACCTCTGGGACATCCACGGGTGCCTTCAGGGCTCATCGGTTGTTGTGCCCTGCGGGGGGTACCCCCCTTAGGTGGTTGCTGGAGTGTGTCTGGGGGTGGGAGGGCCATCTTGCAGCATCTTGATGGCCAATGCTCTTGTCCATCCTGGGCCTGGGCCCTTGTCACTGCCCCCCACCCCACCCCGCTTGAGGATATGCTGGCCTCACCCCATTCACAGGTGAGGAGGCAGGTGGGCCAGCAGCCACCTCTTGAGAAAGGATCCCCTGGGACTGGAACCCAGCCAGCACCAGCCCTGCTGTGACCTGGGCAGAGGCAGACGCAGTGGAGCCCCTTGAATAATAGGCCTTGTGGCTGCTCCTTGGGACCCAGGTCTGGGCTGCAGCCTGTGCTGGTCTGAGCCCCTGGGTAATGTGCCCCAGGATAGACATTTACGCCCCAGAGCAGAGCCACGTCTGCATTTGCGCCCTTGGTGGCCTCAGCACCCATACCATGGCCGCTGGGCGATTACACTCAAAACCTGCAAAATCATTCGCTGCCATCGAGACCCTAAAAGACAGGGAAGAATGGCCCCTGGGGGTTTCCAAGACAGGTCATTGTCTTTCCGGGAGTAGAAAGCCTCATTTTTCTCCCTGGTCCTTTCTAACTGCTGACCTGTGGTTAGCAGCCCAAAGTGTAGTCCACATGACCTTTAGGCTCTCATTTGGTGTGTGCTCAGTAAGTGTAGCTGCTCTCTCACCCAGGAGAGTCGAAGTGGTCCGAGGCCATGGAGCTGTTTGGCTCAGTAAGTGTAGCTGCTCTCTCACCCAGGAGAGTCGAAGTGGTCCGAGGCCCCCCGAGCTGTTTGGTTTGGGTGACCAGCTCTTGGATTTGTAGCTCTGGGGTTCTCCTGAGTCACAGGCTTGGTCCTTCCCTGTCCTCCCCGGTGTCCCACCCAGGAAGAGAGGGGCGGCCCCCAAGACGTCAGCAATGACCCTGAAGGTGAGCCCCGGTCGTGGGTTCCTGCCCTACATTGCTTGTGAGAAACAGGGGGACTGTGGAGGCAGGGCCTGGTGGGAATGACCAGGTGGGAGTTGTCTGAAGGCTAGCAGGCCTTCTTGGGGAGAAGCCAGGTGTAAAAGCAGGCAGAACCTGACTGTCTGGCCTCAAGGCTTGAAAAGGAAGAAAGAGACCAAAAAGGCCTGCAGGCACTGCATTTGGAGGCCCAGCTGTGGGCCCTGAGGCTCTGAGCCAGCGAGGACAGCCAGGCCCCTAGTGAGCACAGGCCTTCCCACCGATCCATGCTCCCGGGAGCGCACCCCCCAGAGTAGCTCCTCTTCCTCCCTGCTCCAGATGGTTAGCTCCTCTTCCTCGCTGCTCCGGATGGTTCACAGGCGACTGCTGGCCCACGCTAGGTGACATGGTCAGGTTGCTCCAAGCACATGTGCTCTGAAACCAGTTAGTGTTTCTGTGGGAAATACAGGCCAGAGACTAGAGGAACACCCCACCCCACCCCGCCCCAGATGGTGGCTCCGGGCTACTGAGGTGATGGGTCCTGCTCTGCTCCATGGGGATGGGCCAGTGAAGAGCACTGTGGGGGTAAACGGGAGCCAGGGCTCCCCTGCATGCTCTGTGCCCTGGAGCCCACCAGGAACCCACTGAGGGCTGCTCAGGCCCCGGAGGATCCCTGCCGGTCCTCTGGCCCAGCCCAGGAGGGGTGTGCCGGCAGAGGCAAGCACAGAGGGGTATTTTTAGTGCTGGTATTAATTTTCTCTCTGCAGTCTCCACCCGCCTGCTCCAGGTCCAGGTCACCCGGGCCCAGTGCCTCCGGTTCTGAAAAGGCCTGAGCCTTCCTGGGCAGGCCTCACCTCGCTTAGGTAGGGCCACGCAGCCAGCTGGGTGACCGGCCTCCTGGAGAGCCTCAGAGATGCTTGTGAACCTCATGAACTTGAAGCAGTGACCACTCTTTGGAGTCAGGCCGGGAGGCCTGGGCTGCTTGGGGGCAGGAAGGGGCAGCAGGTGGGGGGTGCTTCCAGTTCCCCTTTGCTCTGTCAGGGCCCAGGAGAAGGTGGACCTGCTGGGCAGGAGACTGTGCAGGTGAAGGCAGCCTAGGGACACAGCCCGGCCCGGCCCCGGAGGTCTGCAGACTGGGAAGGTGGTTTGGCTTGGGGACTCAGCTGCATCTCTGGGGGCTCCCTGTTCTCCTCCTCTCAGGGAGGGGTCTGGTGATGAGGGGCCTGGCCTACAGTGTGCACAGGCCCCAGTAGTTGTCTGGGATGAGGCAGAGGACTGGGTGGGGACACACCTCGACTAGGACTCCTCCCCAGTCTCGTGAGTCTCAGCACAGCTGCTGGTTTCCTCAGACCCCAAAGACTCTTTGAGCCAATTAGCCCGCTGGTCTGCCCATTTCCCTCACCCCATGCCTAGTCGGCCCCTCCTGGGTACGGTAGGAGGACGGGCACCCAGCACAACCATCTTGTCAGGCCCATCATGCGCTGTTCAAGGTGGCGTGCCGTGTCGAAACTAGAGTATGTTTATATTTCCTTTTGATGTGAGTCTTAAACATGGCATTGCCTCACGGCCTGGCTTATCCTCAGAAAGCTGTGTTCGCAGAGGTGGCTTGGAGGGCAGATGTCTTAGGGAAGGAAAGACTCAGCCAGGCTGAGGCTGGGCCAAGTCAGGAGGCTCAGGACCAGCAAGATTAAGGCCAGACCTCTGTTGACTCAACCAGGCCTTCCCACGTCTGAGGGCTGAGGCAGGGGGCATACGCAGCAGCTGGGCCAGCCGCTCTGGATCTCTCAGCCCCGACTGATCCTCAGCTTCACCCGTCCTTGTTGAATTTCCTGACGCAACAGCTGTCTCTAACTCATTTCCCCCTTCTCACGCTTACTGTGAGGGATGCTAGCCTGCCGGCTTCTCTTAGGCGTCACGGGAAAGGTGACCTGCTCCGAATCCCTCTTCCACCTCCCGTTGGCCACCCTCCCGTCCCTCAGGACCCCTTGCCCGTGGGCTAACCTGACGTGGAGAGTGACCCCTTGCTGGCCCTGAGATGTGTTCTAGGAAGGCCTGGGTGCCCTCTGAGATCCGGGGCCGTCTTTGGCCGTCCTTTCGTGTTAGCTGTCGGCTGCCTTCTGCATCCGGGAACCGGGGACTGTTGGGAGAGTGGCAATGGCAGCTCTGGTTTCTTTTGGTTCGTTTGGGGGCGTGTGCTGCCAGCACTGAGCCTCCCCAGAGGTCAGGAGCCTGCTTCTGCGTCCCCATTCTTGTTCAGCCTGGTTGTCCGAGGCGTACCTGCTGGGGAAATGCTGGTTGTGTAGCCCACCCTGTTTGTTAAGACGGATGGTCCTGCAGTGAAGCAGGACCGGATGCCAATACTGGCTAAGCAGGACAGGCACCTTCCGACCCTGGGGCCCTTGAGTCTGAAGTTGTTGGAAAGGAAACAGGCTGGGATTTAGGGGTGGGGGATCCAGGCGGTGCTTGATCCTGGCCCCTGGGTGAGCGACCCCAGGTTTGTTTGGGGGTACTTCCTCAGAAATGGTCAGCAGCAAACACCCCAGAGGACAGTGAAGGGAGCGTGCTAACTGCAGGCCCATGTCCCCTCTGCCCACACCCCCTGACTGCAATTTGTCACCCCCACCCCCAGGTGGCTCGCTGACCAAGCTGGCCTACTACTCCACTGTGCAGCACAAGGTCGCCAAAGTGAGGTCTTTCGACCACTCAGGGAAGGTGAGCGCATTGGGAGAGGAGGGGCCAGCATTTCCTCCCCCAGCCTGGTACCCTGCAGTCAGCCTCAGAGGCTGGCATCCAGTGGGGCTGCGGAGGGTCTCAGAAGCCCAGCCCCTTCCCTGGGCCCTTGGCCTCCACCCTTCCCGGAGTGAAGCTGAGCTCTGTTTAAAGCTCGGCTCCAGTCATCCAGCTGCTGGAGGGGCAGGACGGGGGAACAGGGCATTGTGGGACCCCCTGACTCACTCTGCAGGACACAGAGCAGGATCAGGAGTCACCCTACGAGATCTCCGTCCAGGAGGAGATCACCGCCCGCCTGCACTTCATCAAGTTTGAGAACACCTACATCGAGGCCTGCCTGGACTTTATCAAAGACCACCTGGTCAACACAGAGACCAAGGTCATCCAGGCCACGGGAGGCGGGGCCTACAAGTTCAAGGACCTCATTGAGGAGAAGCTTCAGCTCAAGTGAGTGGGGCCAAGCAGTCTGGGGGGAGTGGGGCAGGGGTGGTGGGCAGCCTGGTGATTGGGGGCCTCCCTACTGTTGTGGGGTTGTGGGGTTCCCTATAGATGTGGGCTGGGGACAGACTGGGCAGTTTGGGGGGGTCAAGTTTTCCCCGAATAAACCTGGTCTCTCTGAGTCTACCTTGGCCCTGCTTTGGGAGTCCCTGAGCCCCTCAGGGCTCTGCGGGCCCCTGGGTGGACCTAGAGCTCTGGGCCAAGCTTTGCAAGTGGATTTGGACACTGAGCACCAGGAGGCCTCTGGGGGACTAAGGACAGGTGGGTGTGGTGGGTGGGGGTAGCGTGGGGGTGTTCTTCGCTGATGTCCTGCTGGCCGGGGACGTGGGCCTGTGCCCAGCTGGCCAAGCCCAGCACATTGACAGCAGCGTGGTGAGCTGGAAGCTGCTCTGCTGCTGGCTGCTCTCGGAATGCTACGGGGCCAGCAGCCTGGAGACGAGGGCAGAGGACAGTGTCGTGGGGCCCACCACTCCCCTGCAGGGTGGACAAGGAGGACGTGATGACCTGCCTCATAAAGGGCTGCAACTTCGTGCTGAAGAACATCCCACATGAGGCCTTCATGTACCAGAAGGACGCCGACCCCGAGTTCCGCTTCCAGACCAACCACCCCAACATCTTCCCCTACCTCCTCGTGAACATCGGCTCTGGGGTGTCCATTGTGAAGGTGAAGGGCTCTGGGGCCTGGTGCGGCCCCTGGGTGTCAGAGCCAGGGCGGGGTGCCTGTGGCACGTGGGGCATGCTCAGTCAAGTGCCGCTGCTCCCTCGCAGCCTTCCGGCCCACACCCTCAAGTGAGGGTGCCCGTGGTGGTGGCAGTGACCTGGCTGGGTCCACCCCTGGGTTGCCCTGCGTGGTCTGACGTGCCCCCATTCACACCCCAGGTGGAGACCGAGGACAAGTTCGAGTGGATCGGCGGCAGCTCCATCGGGGGTGGCACCTTCTGGGGGCTCGGCGCACTGCTCACCAAGACGAAGGTACTCAGCCCTTGGGGGACCCCCGACGTCTGAGCCTGACTGGGCTGGGGGCTGCAGAAGGGGCTCCTTTCTGGGCTCTTGCTGTTTTCTGGGTCTTGGGCTCGCCAGCCCCAGTCGGCCGGGAGTTGTTTGTGCCATGGAAGATAGGACCTCGGCCGGGGCCCGGTAGACGATAATCTAGAGAGAGGCCACACCACGGGAGAGGCTGCGTGCCACTGCGGGCTCTGCTCGACCGTTCGTGGGCACGGTTCTGCGGGCCACAGGGACTCCACCAGCCCTGCGGTCTTACCGCAGTCACCTGCTCTGTCCCCTCAGAAGTTTGATGAGCTGCTGCAACTGGCCTCCAAGGGCCAGCACACCAACGTGGACATGCTGGTGCAGGACATCTACGGCGGAGCCTGCCAGACCTTGGGGCTCAGCGGCACCCTCATCGCCAGCAGCTTCGGGAAGTCAGCCACTGCCGAGCAAGGTGCCTCAGGCCCGTGGGGTCGCGTGAGCAGGTGGACAGAGCAGCCCCGCGTGCTGGAAGCACCAGGCCGTCACTGTTGGGTGCTGGCTCTGTGGAAGGCTAGAGTCTGGAAACAAAAGTCCCCTGGAAGCCCCGCCCGTCTCCAAATGATCCCCACTCCATTTGGTGCCAAATTCACTGTCGTTTTACAAAATGGATTCACTCGGTCGTTATTTGAGGAGAAACACGAGCTAGAACGTGTTGTTGCCTTTCCCTTTGGAATGGCTCCTTGGTTGGGCCTTCTGTCTGCCGGTCTCGCTGTCCCCACACAGACACTTATTCTTGCTGTCACCTCTGCTGCTCTTTCTGGCTCTCTTGCTGCTCCCCACCCCTCCCTGCTCTCCCTCAGAAACAAGACCCGTGTATTCATTTTTGGC